AATAAGTGTTTTGTTTTTTTTTTCAAAATTAGTAAACATGTAGTAGAAGATGCGAAAGTCAGTGGTTAAGAAGAACGAGTGTGCACATGTAAATCTTTACATACACACTAGTGCTAAAAAATAAGTATTGGGGTAGTGGGGCAAATGTGAGCGCGAAGGAGCAGTGGGAATATTATCAACCTCTGGCCTACACAGCAGGAGTAGCGCCCTGCCTCAAGTGTTCCTGAAAGCTCAGATCTGGCCGCTGTCACCTGCCCCTTCATCCAAGTTGCCTGTGTTCCTCTCAAAGCCGTTTGTTCCTGGCAGAGGGCAAGTTCCACCTCGAGCTGAACTTCTGGTGCACAGAGTAGGAGGTGGATGGGGCAGTGGCCCCTTGGCTTCCCGGGTTTGGCTTCCCTCTGCACTCGGGGTGCTGGTCCAGCAAGACCTCGGTTTCCTTACCTGTACTTGGGAAAATTGGTGGAGGATTGGAAACTTTTAAAATAAGTCTTTCTTGGCTAGGTAATAAATGTGGCATATCCTGTCATTTCTGTACAAATGCATGCTTAAAATAAGCCTGTATTTTTATGGTGTTTCATCTCTGTTTCACCCAGAATATTTTTTTTAACTAATATGAAAAGTTTCTTTCAGGAAGGTATTTTTTAAAATTTTGTGATGGTAATAGTTGACGTCAGTAAATGTTATCAGAGTTATTGAAAACAAATGTCACTTCATTCTCTTAAGGAGGAAATTACAGACCTTGAGTCACGTCATTTCAATGTCAATTCGTTATAATGGTGAGAAAATAAATCCCAGTTGACATTGACTAAAGTCCCTTTATTCCAAGACATGGTTTTATCATCAGTCATTTTGTCTAAAGTCACAGTTTCCAAGAACCTGCGCCCAAAGTCAAGTGAGGCATTACACGTCATCTTCCTGTTGCACAGTGCCACCTACAGGTCCACACCAGACCCTGTGTTAGCCATCACTGCTAAAGCAGAACCCATGCAGCAAAATCTGTGCATTCAGACTGCATTATTTTTCTGAGGTCATAATAAAAATGCAGAGACTATAGTTGGATAAAAAGCTTCCACATGGAGCATTGATTTATTTATGTAGAATGCAATCGATAAGTTGATTCACTTTTGTTTTTTTTTAAGATTTATTTATTTATACTTACACAACTGGGGTACAGGCCAGAGGTGTGGTGGATGAGAGGATTCACCAGAGACAGAGTGGGGAGCAGAACAGGCAGATCCACTGAAACACACTGCTGAGGGGAGCAGCGGGCAGGTCTGCCGCACCATGTGGGTCAGCTTCCTGGCTGGGAATCAAACTCGTGCTGCAGTGGCTTTAGAGAGCTTCTTAATGCGGTGCTTTGACCTGTTGCATCACCAGGGAGAGCCCCAGTAGATTCACTTTTAATCTACTTTTAAGCAAAAAAGATTTAAAATTTTATTTTATATTGAAAAGTTTTCCTGATTTTTCCATTAATGCACATCATTGTAATTTGAGGACTGCAACTTAACACCCCCACATATGCACATTCCTCACTCTCCCTCCTCTAACGCTTTATACCACGATCCTGTTACTACCCTTCCCTAGTGATTTCTCCCTTACTCATCTCCATTCCCTCTGGAAACCCATGTATTTTTCTTGTTGTTTACCAGTTGCTTCTCTTGGGTTAGTTATGTCCTACAAATGAGTGAGCTCTTCCCATAACTGCCTTTCACTTTTGACTTATTTCAGCTCACATACTCAACCTCAAGACCCATCTTTGTTGGTCTAAAGGTCCAACTTTATTCCAAAAGCTACTAATTTAGTCTTTTTCTTTTGTCCACTTAATGTGAATTAAGGTTGATTCCACATCCTGGCTATTCTGAGCAGTGCTGCCAGGAGCACAAGGACCGCCCCCCCCCCCAACATCTTGTCATATTAGTGTTTGCATGCTCTTCGGGTACATACCAAGCAGTGGTATTTCCTTTTTATTTTTTAGGACCCTCACGCCTTTTTCACAGATGCTGCCCCAAGTAGCATTCCTTCTCCTCACACCTTTGCCAGCAGTTGTTTCCAGCATTTTTGATATGCGTCATCCTCACAGGAAGGCGATCATGTCTCATCCTATCTGTGGTTTGGGCTTGCATTTCCCAAGGGATAAGTGATGTTGCGCTTTTTTCATGTTCCCGTGAGCCATCTGAATGTCCGCATTGAAGAGGTGTCTTTTAAGGCAAATTAAATACACATTTTATTAATGATGCTTTCCCGAGTGTTCTTTGTACCCCTTCCTTGTTCTTTTAATTGTGTTTGCTTGTTAGTGTAGCATCTTTCTGTCTCACTGAACACACAGTGACCCTGCACCTCTTTTATTCATCCTTTCGCTTTTTCCGTTTAAGAGAACAGAAAGGAAAGAAGAGATTGCAGTATACCAGAGACCCAGTGATTAAAGTACATTTGTACCCAAATTACAAAATCTGGACCTATTTCTCAAGGAAGTACGGTGTAACGCTCTTGGTAAGGGGGAAAAAAACAACTTAGACAACATTTTAGAAAGTGGCCTTTTTCAAACTAGCCATCTACTTTGAAGTTGAGCTCAAGAAAAGTATGAGCTCATACTCCTTGCTGTAGAGTAGATACGAGGTGACCTGGAGCAAAGCAAAGTCTCCGAGGGTTTTCAACATAGCCTGCGAGATGAAGCAGGCAGCATAATTTAGAAACCCCTGTCCTGTTGCCCAAACAGAAAATGTAAACAGTTCAAAAGCTTTTAACATTCTTTCCTGTCACCTCAATTATCTGAAGACCTTATTTATCTAGCCATCATTCAGATCCCCAAAGCATGAAAGTAAAAAAAATGTAAGTGTGTTTAATCACATAGATACAGTCATTACTTGTTTCCACTTTATTACTAGACATTCATTTTCAGTTCAGCAAGTTTAAATCTGCCAGGACTGGAATGTTTAGGTGTAAGTTGCCGACAAGTTCACTGTCATTTTAGACTGAACCTGCCTTTGAATAAAGCAAAAAATAAGGTTCTTTGCTTTCCATTGCCTCTGCCTTGCCAAGCAAATAACTATCACACTTTGTTTGCAGTCTCTCAGTCTATTGATTGTAGCCTTTGAACTCTTTGAAAATAAAAGATTGCTAAACATAAATATGACTGGAGTGCTTTCAAATTGAAGACTTTTTCCTTACTTGACTCTTAACAACACCCCCTGATACCAGGGGTTGAAAGCTGCAGAACAGGATAGTGACCAAAGGCATGATTTATAGATTTTTTTGATCCAGGAAAAACAGCCTTACTTTACATTTGTACTTTCAGCCTCATTCTCGTGTTTCATTTTTTTGTCCTAGGAATCTCTTGTTGGTCTACACCTAGTTGATCCCCTCAGACTATTTCTAGAGATAAGGGACAAACATGTGTCCCTCTTTTATGCCTTGCAAATAAAAAGGTGTACACAAAAATGTTGTGTGTGTCAATATTTGAATATGTATATTTGTATTTAAGTCATTTCGCAGAGTGCTTTAAAAAGTTATTGTGCCTTTTAACTATGAAGCTGTTGACTATATGAAATATTTCCTGAAAGGTGGATTCCTGATCTTGTTTAATTTTAGTAGTAATAATTTAGAGCAACCTGTTAGCTACTTTAAAGATTGACATAAATGAATACCTGAAGAACTTGAAAGCTGTGTAAGCCTTATCAATCTGTAAGCTTTATCAATCTATTAAACCCTGTTATCACCTCTCAGGGGGTGATTTTGAGAGATGAAAGGGGGTTTTCTGTCTACACTCTCAAAAGTTTATTTTTAATCCAGTAATTTTATGCCAGGTACAGTGTCTGTCTTGCTTAAGTGCTACTCATGAAATCCTTGTAACAGTCCTACCATCAGCCAGCGTTCCTGTGCCTGTCCTAGGGACCAGAGGAAGCCACAAAGAGAAAACCCTATCTCTCTTCTGGCTCTCTTGAAGCGGGAGGTGGGGAGAAGGCAATGGAGCATGGGGAGGAGGATTCTGAGATTCTTTTTTATCCTTTCCCTGAGTCTTTCATGTGTTACACTAGACCTTTTTTCCCCCTTACAACTCTTAGAACACAGCAGTGGATTCATTTTCACTTGCAACATCTGAGCAGGACAAATAGTAAATCTCAGCTTTCTGAGATGAGCAGAAAGGGGTCTTGTCATCTGACCTCATTGCCTTCTTCCTCTAGCTCTTTGGGTTGCCAATGAAAAGCATTTTGCTTTAATTATGTATTTTTCTTTAAGGAAAAACTTGGTGGACATGCCAAGCCCTGTAATTACCAGGATTTTCTAGAGATGTCATCTTTCAGGAGAGTCAAAGAAGTAATAAGAATCGTTGTGGTTTTATGTTGAAAGCCAGAAAAATTGAAAAACAGGCAGACTTAAGAGTACTAAAGCTTTTTCACTTTCAAGTTGTGAAAGATGTGTCTGTGCACATGTGTATGAGACAGAAACCATTAAGTATTTTTTTCAGTTCTGGCAAAACACGAATAGCTACATTAAGAGTTCTTTGTGAAACATTTTGTCATCAGAAAAGACACAATCTTCCCTCTTACCTAAATAAGTGAGTGTTATTGCATATTTCTTAAGAGAGTTGCATTTCTGAAGAAACTGTTTAGATGCTTTCATGGAGCTGTCTAAGTAGCAATCTGCTATGCAAACTAGGAATTTTAAAATGAGACCTGATGCATGTGAGCTAACTAGCAAACTATGTGATGCAAGATGTTCAGTATATTTAGCATAAACTTTATTAGGTATTAGTAACATTATTGTATGTTGTATCCTCTTTTACATATATATCAGTAAATGTTTAGGGCACGTATATATAAATATGCATCTATGCCTATAAATGACATAAAGTTGGTTTTCATTTGGGTATTGCCTTGGATTCATAAAGTATCGAGAGTGCGTGCCATTAGAATACTTTTCAGGTGAGTTATTCCATAGAATTTCTGAAATATCTAGAAACCCTATACCCACTTATGTGTTAATTTCATTTGCTCTTATAGACACCTCTTTATTTGGTAAATCATGGCGAGAATGGACCCGTCAGATGCAACAGGTGCAAAGCATACATGTGCCCGTTTATGCAGTTTATTGAAGGAGGGAGAAGGTATCAGTGTGGATTTTGCAACTGTGTGAATGACGGTAAGTGGAGCCATAAATGCTCTTTGCAAAAGCTCTTTATTAAATGAGATAAATACGTTAGATTTTTGGCACAAGTTTATGTTAAGCCTATACGTGCGTGGATAGATGTACACATATATGTGTGTATGTAGTAGCTATCAAATTTATACTGAGCTTTTCCTAAGTACTGCTGAGCTCACATTCAGGAATAACTCAGAAGAATGACAAGAGGAGCCATCTCTTAGCTTTATCATCTATAAACATAAAAGGTAAAATTGTATTTGCCTCCAACTTTATGGAAGAAGATTGAGGGAAACAATACTACTTTTAATTGTTCTTTTGTAAGGCACAAGCCAACTTTGCTGTGGGCCCCCTGTGTCTGTGTGAGGCCAGGAGCACTGGAGGTCCCAAAAGGAGTATATGCTGGGAGCTTGCCTTGCAGGGAAATTATAAAGAAAAACCTCGTTTACGCTAACTATGTGTATAGTTGAAGAAGTGGAAAGGTTTCTTTTGTTGTTCCTCCAAGTTATTCTTGAGTGTGAAGTCATCAGTGTTTTGGAAGAACTCAGGTATAACCACATACTATAACATGTATGTAGATTTTTTTTTACCTGCACTGTTGAATGTTGAATTAGGAAGGAAAAAAGCATTACTGTGTCAGACTTTCCTAGAGTCACAACATGTTTGACATGGTACCTGCATAATATAAGTTTTCGTTTCCATTCCAGTAACAATTCACTGATGTTGGGGGGAAAAAATCCCTTCAGGCTTGCTAAAAGTATTACATTATAACATATCTGTGTTTTTAATTATTTGGTGTCCAAGAAAGCACATACCAGGCTGAGAAAGTTCCTACTCTATTTATATTTCTAAAGCTTTCCAAGAGCCACATGATGGTTACTGGAGCATGAGTTTTCTACATTTTTCCTCTGTCTTATCTCTGTAGGCATGTGTCCCTGCCGGGCTTAGGTCAGAGGAATAACTAGCTCACTGCCCGGGAGCCAGGTCTCGCTTGGCGGCTGTGAGCTCCCTCATGACAAGGAGCTCAGGTGCAGCTTTCTGCCAGCATCACTGCATTCACAGCGTCCCAGCCCCATGCGTGTTCTGTGGTGCGGGAACCCTACTTGTCTCCTTGTTTCTTCACCCCCTTATCACAAACTACGGCTTTGCCCAGTTTAGATTGCCAGAGACTAGATTTCAAAGCTAGTCTTTGCTGGAATAGAGTCACTGCTTCCTAGGTCATCTTGGGATATGTCTCTCCTTGCTCCAGTGACCACATCTATTCAGCACAAACTGGATATCCAGTGAGAACAGCTTCTCTTGGCTCTCCATCCTTAATTCTCTGAGGATGACCTCACCCTGGATAAAATAACCCTGTGATTCTGACCTTGGTTATCTCCTTTTATTGGGACCTGGATATCAGGAACCCTGTGACAATTCAGTTTCCTGTGCCTTAGCTTTGGGGAGTGGAGGATGTTGGACTCATGAGAAGGCAGAGTCCTCTCATAAAGGATTTGGGTGCAGCTCTCCACCAAAGTCATCTATCTGTTCATTGTGTTCCCACTCAAGTCCTCAACTTACTTAGGAAGGAACCAGGTGCAGTGTGTCAAAGCTCAGCACTGTGAAGCTATCCACAGCCACTGCAGCACAAGTTCGATTCCCGGGCAGGGAGGTGACCCACACAATGCTGACCCGCTGCTCCCCTCAGCAGTGTATTTCATTAGATTCTCTTGTTCTGCTCCGCACTCTGTCTCTCATGAATCCCCTCACCACCTCTACACCTCTGGCCTGTGCCAGTTCTGTATGCATCAATAAAAAAATCTTAAAAAAAAAAAAGGAAGGGACCAGGAATGTGGCATTCAATTTGCTGTTAACTTCCTGGTCTTATACCCAAAGTGTCAGCTCAGAGCCGGAGCACACCCTGCCACTTCCTGCTAGAGAACCACCTCTCAGATTTCTTGTGTCTCCACAACATACATTCTTTTCCTGGGTACCACACCAGGAGTTCATTATGATCCTTTTTCAGTAGGGTTATTCGTACTGGGAAGCATTTGTCCGTCCAGGAACACAACCTCCTTCAGCTTTATATTGACACTTCATTCTTCACTTGGGTTTAAAGAAGTCAGAGCAGGTCGGGCATAAAAAGAACCCAACAGGGCTGGCCACAGGGCCCCTCTGTTTCCCTTTATTGTGTCTAGAGATTGCACAGTGAGAATCAGGTGAGGTCAGAAGGCCTGCAAAGAGACAGGTGTCAAAGGGCCAGGCATGATTATGGTGTGACTTGCATTTCAGTTTATAAACCATGACAACTAATATTAAATGCTAGCAAATATCAAATTAATTAATTTTAGAGGGAACAGTTTCACATATGAAATGCAGATGTATGAGTAAAAGTCACACAGTGTAGAAATCTAGGAATCTTTTTTTTTTAAATAGATTTTATTTATTTGTGCATACAGAACTGGTGTACAGGCCAGAGGTGCAGGGGCAGTGAGAGGATTCACCAGAAACAGAGTAGGGAGCAGAACAGGCAGATCTATGAAGTACATTGCCAAGGGGAGCAGCAGGCGGGTCAGGAGAGGTCTGCCGCGCCATGTGGTCACCTCTGGGGCAGGCGGGAATCGAACTCATGTGGAAGTAGCTTTAGCTCCTTAGTGCTGTGCTTTAAGCCGCTGCACCATCAGGGAGGGCCCCAGTGTAGATGCACCATCAGGGAGGGCCCAGGCTACACAGAGATGTAGCCTGGCCTGTCTCACTGAAAAGTAAGAAAATAGCAGTTAAAAGTACAGTTACTCAGTTTAGTGGAGTCTGAGGAGGGGGGAGCGATGCTAATCTTTTCCCATAATCTTTTCAAGGCTCTGAGTTGTGGGAATTCAGAGATTCATATGTACACATGGATTTTATAAAACTTAGTTCATATGCTATGGTAAGAACAGATAACGATAAGAAAAAATGAAACATCAAACCTCAGTGATTTTTTTAAAAGGCCATCCTAAGAGAACAATCCTACTGTAATCCACACAGCTAGTTCACAACTGAATTACAGAGAATACTGGAGTTGTTGGGTTTTATAATAAAAGGCATTACATCTGTGACTTTCCAAATCAAAATGTTCTTTTTGAAATGCTTGCTCTTGGAGCACTGCCGGTTATTCTGAGTATCACCATTAGCAGTGGTTTAGTAGCCAGCCTTTTAATCTCAAGGCAAGAGGAGCTGGTTTTCACAGAGATACCAGCCCATATTTGTCCAAGTGTTCAGTGTGTGATTCATGATTGTTCCTGCGCCATTGGATGGTGTCCAGGTCTTTGCCTGAACTAACCTTCTTGGACATTTGAATCAAATTAAAAGCCCCACAACCGAGATCTCAGTGGTGTCATCTTTCCCTAATACAGTAATCCTCCTCTTCAAACCCAAACACAAAAAGATCGCCATGCAAGCTTCCCAGGACCAGAGGCATTGCTTAATTAAAGGATGACATATATTGTGGCTAGTACAATACTATAACTTTTGTATATTTTTACTAAGTAATTTGAAATTTTAAACTGTAACAGAAACCTGAATCCCTTCTAAAAGAGGTAACTAAGGACAATTAAGTACACAAACACCACTCCTTTCATTCCGTTTCTCCGTGATGTTTCAAATCATAAATGTCCTGTCTCATCAGTAACTTGTAGAAAGGTCAGGAGGATTTTTTTAGAAAATCCTCATGCTTTCCTGAATATGCTTTTTAATAGTGGGTATTTAAAATATACTACATTGCGGTTTTAAAGCACATTAAAAAAAATAACTCCTCCCATAATAAATTTTGATTATAAAACTGCTATAAAAACAGATTTCCTTTCTCATTTTTTTCTTACTTTTATTTTCATTAGTTCCACCATTCTATTTCCAACATCTGGACCACATGGGAAGAAGACTGGACCACTATGAGAAACCAGAGCTGTCACTAGGTTCTTATGAATTCGTTGCTACTTTGGATTACTGCAGGGTAAGTGTCCCTGGGACTTCAAATGTTTAAACATTGATGTCAGGTTCAAGTGAATAACTTTCATAATGTTAAGAGCTGTCTTGATTCACAAACAAAGCATTTTGTTGGTGTCACTGGGATTTGGAAATGCCCAAGGTACAAACCAGGTCATATCATCAACCTGGTTAAAATGCAAAACTATTTACTGCTGTGGTCATTTTTAATTTTCTTCTAAGATTTTTATTTATTTAGAAATAGGGTGTAGGCCAGGTGCAGGGCTGAGAAGATTCAACAGAGATAGAGTGGAGAGCAGAACAGGCAGATTGACAGAAGATACTGCTGAAGGGAGCAGTGGGTGAGACAGGAGAGGTCTTCTGTGCCATGTGGGTCACCTCCCTGGCCGGGGATCAAACTCATGTGACAGTGGCTGGCCATAGCGCTGAGACTTTAACCCCTTCATCATGAGGGAGAACCTACAGTCATTTTTTAAAACTGAAAAATGGAAAACCAGAAATAGAGAGTAATTTAGTTTTTCTGTCTCTATCAAATAACATACGGTCTCTCTACTACAAGTCTCCAAGGCCAGGTATCTCCCTAGACTAGCTCAGCTTCATGAACACCTTGATTTAAAAATTAAGGTACAAAGTTAGCTTTCTTTGTAAGATCATAAATTGTTAGGTCCCAAACCACTTCTTCAGCTATATCTATACTACACAGAATCCTCATCTTTTACTCTGAACTCCAAACTCCTTTTACACGTCTAGGATTCTTTCCACCCTTTTCTTACGGCTATACATATCCCACCTGCCAAACTCCTTATTTCCTAACAGCTTGCTGAGGGGTGTGTGTGTGTGTGTGTGTGTGAGTGAGACATGCATAAAACATGCACAAAGAGTAAGAATACTCAAGGTTTTCTGATGTTATCTTGCTAATAATTTATTGAATTTTCTGGGTTATTTTAATAGAATTTGGTACATATTTTAGTAGTTATCGCGAGAAAATTTAAATCGTATGTGCCCTTCTTTGTAGAACAATGGGCCTGGTCTAGGCATCCTTCTGACACCTTCCACAGTATCTGGCACAGGGTCGCAGCAGGTGAATGTGTGTTCCTCTCCCCGGGGTCATAGTGCAGTGTCCTCCTTGTGCTTAACCACGTAGGGTGTTGCAGCTCTTGAATCTTTTAGAAAGATCTGCTGGGTATGAGATCCTGACTGATAACCAGCAGCGATTCTGACTTGCTTTCCCAAAAATGAGTGCCCAGTTCCCAGAAAACAAGTCTCTGGTGCAGCAGTTTTTTTCAGACACATGTTTTTAGTCCATGAACCAAAAACATTTCCTTAAGCTACAAGTTTGTGTAATCGATTGCACTTAAATGTTTTCAATTAACATAACTTACGCATTTATTTTTGCACTTTATGTGATTTCTTCACTATATTACATGGGACTAGTTATTAAAGACAACTTAATTCTTTATTTGTTAAAAATGCTATAAGATTTCAACATCTTCTGGGAAATGTAAGAACACTTTTGGTACAAGTGTGTTATTTCAACCAAAAAGCATGTCCTACAATACCGATAACTGAGGCAGCTGATTTGTTCTTTACTGCCACTAACTGAGGGGTGTGATTTGGCAGACTATAAATATTTGTAGTTCTAATAAAATGTAATAAAGCTGTTATGACTAGTGATGGAAAATCTACTTAGTGATCTCTGCAACTGTCATATAAATCTAACGATGCTCTCAATGACCACGTCTTTGCTAAAAAGTTACACTCTCTTGATTTTATATTTTTTTTTTTGGTAGAAATTTGGGCAAAGAATCAAATCTATTTCTGGGAACAAAAGTCTTAGTATCTTCAAACTTTGTTATCTGGAAGTGTTCCAGATGTCTAATTGATGAGAAATCTCACCCAGCAGGCAAGGAGCCAAATGAAAATTACACATTTTGAAGAACTTTATAAACTTAGTCTTCCTTTTATTATTCCAAGTGGGATTCAATATAAAAATGCTGTAAATAGCTTCAAATTTAATTAAAGTATAATAATGAGTTGCCTTAAGGGTTTGAATGACAGAAAAGAGCTCATTTAATTCCTATATGTATTTTTCAGTACCATGCCACTTTAGAAGAAAATTACCCTATTCATTTTTATGTCTTTTAACACCAATTTTAGATGTTAAAGTGGGCATTTACTGAACATTCATTCTGTGTGAAGCTCTGTGCTAAGTGCACAGAATTATTCATGTCTCACAGTGGAACTATTTGGTGACTTCACCATTAAAATCTGAGGCTCATGGAGTTAAGGTCCCCACATGTAGAAAGTGATGGCACCAGACCCAAGCCCTCTCTGTACGCCTAAAAGTCCCTTCTCTACCTGTACCTGTCATGCCGCTGTGGATATGGAGGCAAACATTTAGGAAATCATCATGAAAGTCTCTTGGACTTTCATGTCTCTCTCTCATGAAAAAAGAATTCAGCTCTGTCACTTAACAGTTTTCCGTCTATCGCTTTACAGAATATAGTGGCATATAAAGTGTACTTGAAATGTAAAATCGCATCTCATCTAGCCGTTTCTTTTTCCTAAAAAAAAACATGTAGCTTCTCTGCTTATTTTTAATTTACCTTGACATTTATTGGGTACCTAGCAAGTCCAAGACACTGTGTATGTCCTGCCAGTGTTTCGAAAGTCAGCACGATGATTGATGGACCTGATCTCAAGATATCTGCCATGTGTTGGTCTGATAAGAAAAGTGTATGGTGACCACACAGACGGATCATGGTTGATGCAGTAAGAGTGGATTAATCAGAGTGCCATTCAAAAACAGATAAGCAATAACACAACTAGGAGGATCACAGAAAGATCTAAATATGAAGTGACATTTGAGCTGGTTAAACCATGAGCAGAGAATGGACACGGAAATGGGGGCCGGGGGTCTGAAAGTTGAGCAGAAGCAGTTCTCACAAAGGAATTTGCAGCTGATTCCGTTTTCTTCAGGAGCTAGGCAGCTCTGTGGATGAATAATGTAGACTGGTATGGGGACAAGATAATTGGAGACTCACTTCCCCCTTCCTCCAGAACATTCCAAATTCAAACATTTTTAAAAGCACTATGCCAAGGAAAACAATTTTTTGGCCAAATTCTTGGCCTAGGCCCACTGGACTTGACTTCTGGATAGGAAATACTTCGAAAATGGCAAACCTTAAATTAGTTGCAGGAATGTGTATTAGGAATAACGGGAAGTAAAGCTGGGAAGCTGTTTGGATATGCAGACTATCCCTTTACTTTTCATTGGGTCTAGCATCAAAGAGCCTGCATTTGATTTGAGAGTCTTAGATGTCAGGCCATTGACAAATTTTGTTAATTCAGTAGGCCTTCAGGACAATTAATGGTAATCTGGAGTTGCCTCCATTTCTGGACAAAGCAAGTTGGATTGAAGAGGGAGCATAATCTCCTGAAGAAGCTAGTGAGGCAGAAATCACAAGCTTCTCAAGGCTAGGAGTAGCGGTGGGTTACAGTATGTGAAAGCACATTTTTTTTTTAAGATTTGTTTATTTATGCATATAGAACTGGGGTACAGGCCAGAGGTTCAGGGGGTTGAGAGGATTCACCAGAGACAGAGTGGGGAGCAGAACAGGCAGATTGAGGAAGTACAATTCTGAGGGGAGCAGCAGATGGGTCAGGAGAGGTCTGCCTCACCATGTGGGTCACCTCCGGGGTGGGAGATCGAACTTGCACTGAAGTAGCTGCAGCTTGCTTGCAGTGCTGTGCTCTAACCCACTGTGCCACCAGGGAGGGCCCTGTTTCTTAATATTATTTCATGTTTAAATTTTATGTTTTATTTATTTTCTTACACTACTGTTCATTTTTGAACAGTACTTGATTTCTCCTCTCAGGTGTAGTACCCGTAGTTATCCCTCCACCCATGATAGGACCCATGATCCATCACCCAAGTCCCTTATGCTCCTCCCACCTCTGTTTTGACCCCTCTCTTACCCCCTGTTCTGCTCTATGCCTCAGCCCTGTGGTTAGCTTGCAACTTGTCTTTTTTTTTTCCTGACACTTTGTTTGGTTTCTCTATATTCCACAGACACCTGGAACCTCTGGTATTTATCTTTTTTCTCCTGACTTATTTTTCTTAGCATAATCCCTTCTAGCTCCATCATGTTGCCACCAGTGCCATGGATTTATCTTTTTTGATTGCTGAGTAGTATTCCGCTGTGTATGTATCAATTTTGAAAGATAATTCAGTGGGTCTCCATTATTGAAGGAAAAGGAATAGTCAACTCTAATTTATATTTTTAAGCCTTTGAGTTGGTGTGTTACAGAAAGAAGTGGAAGAGAATATAATCTAGAAGAATAATGGAAATATATAGAAAAGTTACAGTTTAATGCCCTTGTAGGAGGATAAAATAGGGAAAACATTCAGAGGAAACTCGTGATGGTTAATTTTGGAGAGAATGCAAGCATGGTAAAGATACGTTTGTGTTAATGATATAATTAATTTAGTTTAATTAATGGAAATGATTGTTACTTTCGTTCCATATACATCAGCTTTAATCTATGCAATGAATAAAATTGATAGGGATAAGGATAATTCACAATAAAAATTGTTAACATAGATAACAGTATTTTTCTTTGGCTTTTTTGTTGGTTTGATGTTGGCTATGGCAAGTGATGAAGTTTCTAGGCTGATGGTTTTTCTGTCCTATAATTTTCTCTCTATTTTCCAATGAAAGGCATGTCAGTAGAATATCATATCTTGCCTTGTAGTGAATATAGAATGAACAGTGAGATAATTTGGAGGCAGTATCATCTAGGTTCATAATTATAATAATTACAATAGACTATTTTAGAACACTTGTCATCTATTAAAAGTGAAAAATTAATTGGTTTAACTCTTCAGTCTCTAGTATGAGACATTTACATTGCTGGCCTGTGGCTCTCTTTTCTAAATATTTTTTTTTTAAGACCCAACTGAAAGAATCACTTCCTAATAGCTATTTGAACACCAGCCAGTAGTGGAACCAACAACTACAAAATATTTATACAGCAGCTGTTTTATGTTATAGCGATTGTTTTAAGCAGATAGAAAAAAAGACCCAACATTCCACTTTTTACCATAAATAGGAATGAGATAGGTAGGTATTTAATAACCTAGTATATAATCTTTATGTATACATGTATATATTTGTATATAATTTTAAAGAACTTGTATAGGTTCTTTAAAACTACAACTTACAAAGGAAGTGATTTGAAAATAGCAATATCAAGTTAAACATAAATTAATACCTTTTCCAAAGTCAAATGCTAATTTTTGTCTACAGTCTGGGCAGAATTTGTCGGGGTCCGGGCACATTTCCTCCTGTAGGGTGGAGTGTTATAAACAAGGCTGCACTGGACAGTACGTGTTCTTGTGCGATTGTAGCAAGGACTGGAGGACTGTGAAAGTGAACTTCTCCTGCTAGATATTATAATACTGCTTAATTCAGTCAGGGGGCTTAGGTCATATCCTAAAAATAAATAGCTTTTATCTTTTCTATAGCATTGGTGACCGTGTTCTAGAAAGTGATTTACTTCCACAGCCGTTATATCCTAAATATTGAATGGAACACTGATGTTTTAACAGCAAGAGTTTCTGAATGTTTTAATTTGATTTTGCATTATATGCACTTCATAATTATATGTTGATGTGATTTATTTGCTTTCCTGTAGAAGAATAAGCCTCCCAACCCACCAGCCTTTATCTTCATGATTGATGTTTCATATAGTAACATAAAGAATGGACTTGTGAAGCTCATCTGTGAAGAACTGAAGACTGTACTGGAAAGACTTCCAAAGTAAGGGAACTTCCATTCTTTTTATAGCTTGTCCAATGCTGCTGAACTAATTTATCCGTAGGAAATTTATTGGACAGGAAGCAAGCAATATCTTTTGCTAATGAGGACATTGGATATTTCTTAATAGGTTAAACAGCACCACTCTTTTAAATCCTATAAAAGTTAGGGTGATCTTTGGTCCAAAGTAAAAAGAAAAACAAAACACACAGACAAAAACCTGATAAATCATGCTACAGTGAACAGTGTTCAAAATATATTGTCAGTTACAAGGAGATTCCCAAAATTGTGGTAGAGAAGACTTTGGAAGCTGTGTTTGCCTTTTTCAAAACATTATTTTTCCTGTGGACATTGGAAGTTGCTGGACTTGCTAAACATCTAAGGGATGACAGAAGAGGGAATTGTTGTCCTGTTCAGAAATGGTGACTTTTTAACCAAATGTCCTTTGCCCTTATAGTACACTACCTAGCCCCTTTGCAGCTTTCCTGCCTCTATGCTCTGTGGCTGTGTAGGTACACCCCTCCATGGCAGGAGCAGTGCATGCAAGGAGAGGTGGAAGGTAGCTTAGCAAGCACAGTGTGCAAACTAGATGTTTAGGATGGGAATTTGCATCCAGTAAGGAGACTCAAGACCAGAGAAAATGCCTTCCTTTAGAGAGGAAGAAGTGTTGAGAAAGTAAAAGAACTTAGGAAGGATGGCCTGATATGTACTACCTGACCAGTCTCAGCCTTTCCCACTACCCCTGAACATCAGCAGTCTCTCTTCTGGAAAGAGAGCTCAGGGGGTGGCTTTCCTGCACCCCAGTCCTGGGCTACAACTCCAACCCCCTCGGCATATGGCTGTGTGTGAGTGCACTTGAGGAGGTTTGGAGGAGGGAACCGTGGACCTCCCAGGAGTAGTTTTGTTTGTAGCCATGAGGCTGAAATCATAATATTCTCCAGCACGATTTGGAAAAGCTGTGGGGATGTTTTAAAAATGTTGAGGTGATTTCAAACTGAATTGTAAAATGAAGAATGAGCGGGGGCTGGCTGAAGAGGGGGCATCAGAAAGACATCTGCTGCCTGCGGACTTGTGACTGTAGTTTCTGTTATTTCATTCTTAGGGGAATCTGAGAATTAGGAACTTTTTTCTTACTGTGATGTTATTTTGTCATAGCACTCTCTACCTGTGCTGTTTGAGTTTTAAATCTAAGTTTTGCGCTTGATAAATTTGAAAGAAAACTACTTTTTGGAAATGTTCTCTCTTCCTTCTCTCACCCCACTTCCAATTAGACCATGTGTTCCTTTTCAACAAGTGATGATATAAAACTTGTAAGTCTCATCACAACTTTGATAGCCCATTGCAGCAGATGGGTGGCTTTGGCAAAAGATAAAAGAATAAAAAATATATTGTTAGTTTATTTCCTGCAACTATCCAAATACCTCACTCGAAAGTTTTTACTCAAGCCTGAGTATCTTTTCTCCATTATCTTTTAAAACTAATTTAACTATTGTTTTATACTTCTCCCTGCCCAATTTCCTTTTGTGCTATGTATGTATATACCTTTATATATGTTTTATGATAATATTTCCAATAGTTTGATTTAGTACTTAGAATAAAGCAGTTAATACATCAAATAACCTTCTAAAAACACAATTTAGTCTTGGTGAATGTCTTAGGAATAGGAATGTTCATCTCTTTTGCAAAGGGAAGGCTCCATTCTTTAGTATTTAACTAAATTTATGTCTTTGCTGCCACCAATTGCCAGACTTTTCTGTCTTTTTTAGAACTGAAAAGGTTTGAAATATTTCACCTGTTATTTAGATCAAGTTCTTAGGCATTTTCTGGTTGTTTGTTTTGAATGTTCTTGTAGAAAAAGTGTTCAAAATGCTTGACTTTTGAATATTCGGGGTCATCTAAATGATAGTTTGCTAACATTTTCAGTGTTGCTCTATCAAACTCATTTGTTAAAATAATAGGAGCAAATGCTGGAGGCAGGTCACGGAAAAGCAGAAGGCGTCCTTTATATAACTCCATGGAAATTGTATAGAGTTCCTATTATGGCAAGGGTAAGATTTTTCTTCCAGATGTGATTTCACAAGGCAGTTATATTGTTGAAGAAGAAAATTTTAAGTTAGTTCTTTGTTTCTCAAACAAATTAAAAGATAATATGTTCTCATGGAGATATGTACTAATATTTTGAGATGCTCTGATGAGATTTTTTTAACATTAATTTAGATGTTAAATGACCCCTAAAAGTCCCAGGATACTCCTTTTCTAACTCTTGAAAATGGCCACTCCCCATGGGAAATAGGAAGCCAGAATCATCATTCTTCTGTTGTACTTTTTTCTTTCGTTAGCTCTGAGATAATCTTTGAGAGAAAATAAATGTCCTTAGTGATTTGTTGGACTTTTTCACTTTAGGTAATGAAAGGTTTACTGGGACATGGGACCCTCACTAGTGCTGAGTTGGTGTACTGGCTCTCAAATGAATCAAGCCTGGACCTGCAATGTTTGCATATTCCTGTGGTGTAAATACTTCCAGCCAGGCTGATTTTGAATTATGAAGGTCTGTCCCCAAACTGGCCTTGGAAGCAATCCTGTAATTAGCTCGCCAATTGTGCTCTTACTTGCCATCCCAAATACCCTGTTTCACCAGACAGTAATCACTGTCGTCAAAGCCTGTTCCCACATTTTCCTAGACCACACGTCGTGGCATGTACCTGGGCCCTATCCTGTATTGGCTTTTAATCCAAGGCTGGTGAACTGTTAATTGAAAAGCATTAAGATAAGAGACCATTGGTAATAATTTTTAAGAGAGGAAGTAATTTCTGACTGGTAGCACTGGAGCTTTACAGAGGAATAAGATTTTGCACTTGTTCTTGAAGTATGTAATTTGTTCAAATAGGGAGAGGGGTCGGTTATGTGACTGCACTACATTACATGTGTCCTAACTTGCATGGAGTCAGACTATTGAGGATATTGAGGGGGGTGTGTATTAGTTTGTGTATGTTCAGTTACAGAGGATAAGGGTACTGCTAAAAGCTTGCAAAAGCTCAGAATATAAATATTTACCAAGAGCCTTTGGAAAGAATTACAAAATTTATTTAAACTGCCCACCCATTTATGAAGGCCACATGAAGAACAAGTATCCTCTGTTAGCAAAGAAGAAAAGACATAGAACAGAGTTTAAAATCAATAGTTTGTCAGACTGTCTCCTCTTAAACATTAAGGGAAACGGAGAGTATGCAGTAAGATCAGTCATTTGAATTTCAGATATTTTCATCTATTTTTTTCACTATCTTGTACTCAAGTAACTCTTTATGCCAGATGCAAAATTTAGAAAGAGAGAAAACCAGGTTATTTTTCAAAGAAGAATTGTTCCCTAAGTAAATGAAATTTTATTGGTAATCTAAGGGTCAAAGAAAATGGCATACACATGGTATTGCACAGCGTTCTTGTAACTGTGGAGCAATGTGCATCATCAGCAAAATTTGTTAATAATATTAGTTATGTTTAAGTGCATAATTTTAAGGCACAGAGAGGGAGAGAAAAGCTGGCAACATATAACTAGAATGTTGACTTCTTAATTCTGAGAATACTAATTATAGATTTGAATGATACTGTTCGTGATTATTCATGCTTTGATTCCCCTTTCAGGAAGATTTAGCTCCTGCTTTATAATTCATCAACAACAGAATTAACTTTTCCATTGTTTGTTAAGTTTGGGGGACCTTTATTGCTTTCATTATCTTGCCAGGACCCTCACATGTAGTCTGCCAGTAAGAATGACGCGGTCAGTTCCTGTGTGGGGCCTAGTTTCCATGCTGTGGAGTCCTCCAATCTAGCCCATTCTCTGATGGGCGCCTCTAGGACTCTCAATGTAAGAAAATGATCACACGGCACAAACAAGTTCTTT